GGGGGGGAGGGATCGAGAGCCGATCGCGACCAGTGCAAGTGTATTTTTTCTTCGGCGACGGAATCGTTTTATTTGCCGGCGTCCGTTGCTTTTTCTTCTCGATTCCATCCTCGCAATCTCGAAACTGAAGAGGTAGGTCTGTCTCTTCCATTCCCGGCGGTGTTTATATCTCGCCGGCACCGGCTGGGTTGCGTTAGGTTCCTCGACCTTGCCGGTCGTGCAGGTTTCAAGTCGCAACGCGCCTCCAGACGGTCCCCCGTGTATACCGGGTGTACCCGTGCGGAAATATCTGCCACGAAAGCGGACGCCGGTCTCTCTCTGGACGCGCGACCGGCGCGACGCGGCGCGGCCACGGGTGTTTCCCGTTCCTCCGTGCTTGGATCGATCGTGCCCCGATCCGTTTCCACGAAACAACATAATCATTTCTGAGGGAAAGAACTCGCTGATTATAGAACACAGTTCCGCGTGATTGCCGAGTCGTATCTCGGTGAAATGGACGGCAAGTCCGTACGGCGTTGATCGTGGCGTCGGCTTTGATGATCTGCTAGTTACAGCCATTTAAATTTTATTGGATCCTCTCGGAGAGCATTCGGAACACGACGATTTCCTTGTCGTGGCTAACCAGTCGTCGAGCCTCCTTCCTCTCCCTTCGGCAATTATCCGAACGAACGTTTCGGCAAAAAGCCGCGAGATGCGTTTCCTCGTCGGCGCCGTGGACCCGTTCTTGCATAAATTGTATTAGAACGGCCAGTTTACACGCCGCACGCGATATAATTGCCGTGTATTCGTCCTACGTTTATCGCGTTTTTAATCGCGATTTTAACAGTGCGCCGCGAATCATTTTACGGTTCTCTGTTTCGCCAACTGTGTCTCCTCGGGGCCAATTATAAATATAATATATTATACTATATTATAGTATATAATAGTATATAATAATATACTATAGTATATATAGTATATAATATTATAGTATATATACTAGTATTAATAATAGTAATTAAAATTATAATTAGTGTTAATAGTATATAATATTATAGTATATATACTAGTGTATTAATAATAGTAATTAATAGTAGTAATTAAAATTATAATTAGTATTAATAGTATACAATAATATACTATAGTATATATAGCATATAATAAATATATTATATTTATATTTATTATATTTATAATATACTAGATAGTAATAAGGACTCGATGCAATTGCCGCGTTGCATCCTGTTCGAGAATAATTACGGACGGACAGAGAAACCGAGCACGTCGTCAAGCATCGTCGCAAATGGAAAAATCTGAGAAAGGAGAACGATATTCGCTTTCAGGATAAATATCGAAGTGAAGATGGCACTATTATTGCCTACCTCCGGGAAATTCGATTAACCTTTAAACGCGCTTTGACGAGGCTGACTGATGATGGAGTGGTATGAATGTTATTCCGTTCTTTCGACACTTTTCTAATTATTCTTTCAAAATCGAAGATCGACAGTTCAGAATTTTTTTTTAGCAAATTATTCGATAACTGTCCCATCTATAATACTTCAAATTATTTAAATTAATATCATGTAATTTTGGGGGGAGGAGGATTTCGTTTATTTCGAGGTCAAAAGGAAGATATGAAGCTTCTCTTGGACGCAGTTCAATCATTGAAAAGCCTATTGAAGAGACGTCAAAATTAAAATATATATATATATAAAATATATAAAATTTATAATTTATATTATATATAAAATATAAAATTTATATTCTAATATAAATGTGAATAATATGATTATATAGATATAATAATATTATATTATATATATATAATAATAATAATAATATGATTATATGTATTAATATGTTTGTAGCCGAATATCGGAATATTAATTGGCATTAGCAAAAAGGTACGTTAAAAAGAATGCTCGTGTCAACAGTGCCCGGATGTTCCATTTTCGAAGATCCACAAGAGCGCCGATTTTCGTACAAATCTTCCGAAGTTATTGCGGCCAACTTTTTCGAAAAAAAAGAGGAACCTCTGCATCTTCACGCTATTTGGAGCGCAGCATGTTAACAGTCCATCAAAAGTATTATTGGGGGTAATAATGATTTCGGAGCACGGCGCGGAGCGGCGCGTTAAATATATTCCCGTTTTCGCCTCCCGCGTGGCCCGTTTCTCGGTACGGGGCGCCTCCTGCATCAGGGTTATTATTGAACTCGCTATTTCCGAAAACCGTCACGACTCGCCGCGGTCGTCGCGCATTCTTCCTGGAACAAGCACAGGCGGCATGAAAATTCTAAAAGGATCGGAATGCAACCTCCGGGGGACGGCTCTACGCGCCGGGTCTCCTTCTCCGAGGGAAAGTCATCCATCCGGGGGGAGGTATTTAGATTTATTGGAGGCCGCCACGCCCCCATCCGCCTGTCTTTTCCCTATCTTTCCCAGCCAGGTTGATACGAATTGCCCAACGATTCGATAATTGGCGCCTCCACGAAAAAAAAAAAGAAACACGTGAACGCGTATCGATCACGTTGGAAGCGTGTAGATAGAGGCGCCGCGATGTTCGTCGGCCGACTGATAAAGTTCACTAGGTCTAGTTCACGCCAGCCGAACTTTCTCCGGAAGCCTGTCTAACGTGGAAACGGAATATGTAATTCGGGACATTGTAATCGGTTGCATAACATCCGAGCATTAACATCGCGATTTTTCCGGCAACCGCCGAGCCTCGCTAGCGCGATACATATTTCTATCCAATGGAAAGTCCATTGTCCCGAGATTCGCGTAGCGGGTCGTTTTCGACCCAGAATTGGTTGCCGCAAGGTCGCACGGGAGACCTCGGCATTCTCCCAAAAAATGTTGACGACGGCGCGTAGCACGAGATTCTTCCAGTTCGCGTTCGATCAACGACATAATTGAGCCGTTTATTTTGAAAGTGGCGTAAGTCACTTTACCGTAGTGAAAAGTGGTGATTTTTTAATGTTTATACGAAATTATTTATACTGAGAAAGATATCAGTATCCTGAGGTAACAAGTACAACCCTTAAATATATCGACTTAAAAACAAAGTGGCTTATGCCACTTTCAAAATAAACGGCTCAATTGTCCAATTTCTATATTTTTCTTTAAAGCTTGTTACACGCGTTCGATAAAGCTTAGATAACAATGAAAGTTATTTATCGGTGTCAAGAATTGCATGTTGCAATAAAAATTGAACAATGTCTCCATAAATCTTGTTAATACGATAATTCTGATATTATTAACACTTTCTAGCATTTACGAAAAATTTTTGATCTACCACGATCCTTCTACGATTTATAATATAAATTTAACGTAGTAACTACAAGTATTATGATTTGATTGGCACTCGCATAATACAAAATCATAAAAATAATATAAAATATAGATATTTCTTCATATTTCTTTATTTCAATGAACACTGAAAGAATTAAAGTTCACGCAAGGGCGAAATATTCCCGCAGCCCTTACAAAAATAGAAGTCTAAATTTATATAAGTATATATATATAAATTTAGCCTTCTATTTTTTTTTCTATATATATCGAGGAAGAAGAATCCCTTGTAGAAATTTAAAATGAAAAAAAGAAAGGTCATGAAATTCTATCGTCCTCGGGAGAGGGAAGTATTTCCGTACGAAAAGCCACCCCATGCGGGTCCGTGGACGACGGCGGTGTACAATTCTTAAACTCGTCTATCTGGGTGGCACACGCCTCAACCGGTTCGAATCGTAGCCGCGTAGCTCTATCGGCGAGGTACAAATATTTCTTGCCGCTAGACAAGGGTGGCGAATGGGTCAACCGACAAGAGTCATCGGGGCATAGCAACCGGTACTGGACGCGCATCGGAGAAAATGAATTACCATATTTTACGGTGCCTTGGAATGCCAAACGAGTTGTTTATTGGACATGAGTCCGGCACGGAGCTATGTCGCGGCGGGCATAGCCGACCGGTAACGACTACCTGTTACCCAATTAATCGCTACCCACGTTCGAGAAGGTCTAGTTCCACTCGGAGACACCGGGGAAACGAATCGTCGCGATCGACGGTAATAATTCTTCGGGCTCCTTGAAACGTTTTCTCGGATCTCGGTCGCAAACCCGGTCACGTTTTCCATTTACGGATGTTCCCGGCGGTACCTCAGGCTAATTCACTGATACAGCCGTTAACACTAAACCTGGCCAAGATGATCGGCTTTGTGATTTTACACGGATTTCTGATCGAACGAAAAATTTATTATACTGCATTCGTCTTTATCGATTTATGTATTTTTTTATGGTATTTTTCTGTTATTATCTTTATATTGGTCTATTGATACCTCTGATACGCTAATAAGTTATGTCATCCGTATATATTATGTATCATTTATATATATATATATTGTATATTATCATTATATTATTATTATTATTATATATAATTACTATATATATTGTTGTTATATATAATATGTAATGATATTATAATATAATAATATATATTATGATATGATAATACATAACATAATATATATATATATATATATATATATATATATAATAATATATAATATATATCATCATTATATATTATTATATTATAATATCATTATATATTATATATCACCCGTACATATATTATATAATTAATATTATATACAATAATTATCGACCATACGCGTCGTTGGTATCGCTAAAATACTTTTGAAACACGTCCCGCACGGTATCGTCTTTCATTCAGTCGCGTGCTAATAAGCACGCTTAATTATAATCGACCAGATGTCGGGCATAATGGAACTGATATATCACGAGCTGTTTGTCCGGTTACAATGGGGCACCGATTGCACACGCAACCCAAATGTGTCGATGGTATCGAGCCGCTCGCAGAGTCCCATACCTAGTTACCGTAACACGGCATAAATTATTGATAGATCGCCGGGGATCGCGATAAACGGCGCCGCGCGTTCCGCGTCGTTTTTCGTCTGGGAAAATCAGCGCGCGATAATCATCTTGCCCGCTTTGTGTGTTACAGAATTTCCAGGACTTGGAAGCTGAAAAGGCAATAATGGGCTCCATTGTATACTGCATCCATCACAAGGACGGGTGCAAGTGGTCGGACGAACTTAGAAAGTTGAAGGTGAGTCCCGCGAATCCGATTTTCCTTATATCCTCCTTCCCACAGGGAAAGAATGCCGCTGGTAATTAATTGCGCGACGCTCGGGTCAGTCGAAGGAACAGCTTGAGAGTCGCTATTTAATGCTGAACATCCGCTGAACGCCGTAAATCGTGTATTTCAATTGTGTTCGAATTGAAAATATTTATCTTCTGCTGTTTCCTTTTTCTAAAAAAAAATCAGAATTGGTTACTTCGTTCACTTTTAATCCGAACGATATCCTCTTAACGCGTCGCGAAAGTCTGTGGGTGGAGGTAGCAAGGACCTCTCACAAGGTCATCGAATCTTGTCGTTATACATACATAGTCGAGCATTCGTTAACACGTCGAATGCCACGTCAACTACCCGACGCGACACGGCAGTCGAGGTGTTAAACCTGTGGAAAGTATAGCCGTCGACGATGTACTAAAAATTCGCATTACTCTGTCCAGGCTCACCTAAATACCTGCAAACACGATGCGGTGCCGTGCAGCAACAAGTGCGGCGCAATGATCCCGCGTGTACTCATGGAGGACCATTTGAAGTACACTTGCGCCCAGCGACGAGCACGCTGCGACTTCTGTGCCAAAGAATTCACCGGTCACACGCTCGAGGTAACTGCTGCTCCCGCATTAATTAGAGAACCACGATTGAGTGCCAGCCGTTAACCGTACAGAAGAACCGGGAACAGAAACAAAGGGAAGCAACGAGGAAAGGAAATTTCTCGAATAGCTTTTGCATACCCGGGGTCGGTGGTTGCAGCGATTCGTACACATTTTTTGACATGGGGGGAACCGTAGACTGTGCGAAGCAGGGGGACTCGCGGAGTCCTTGACCTCCTATTCTGCGAATGTCTTGTCAAATTCTGTGTCGAAACCGCACCAGAGTCTTCCTAATGCTGGTCGACAGCGGGACGAGAAATAGTCGCGGACGAACGTTGAAAAGTCCGAGTCCGAAAGTTTTCTTGAAAAGTCACTTTCGAAGACGAACGTCTTGCAGCCAATCATAATATTGTTGGTGGCACTCGAGAGCGACTACTCGATGACATCAGACTACTTTAACCGTTGGCCGTTGCCGCACCTCTCTTTGATTCCGCCGTGTGTTCGTGAAAAAAATTTTACCGTCAATCTTCAGTTTCATGATAATCAAACGAATTTGATCGATAGAGTAGCTTCTTATCGATTTCCTAGAAAGGAGGCTTTCTAGAAGGACGTATGTTACTTCATAATTTTACGGTTTAAAACTTGCCAATGTTGGATTATTATTTATTTTACAAGATGGAGGAAGGTTGCTTCTATAATTGCTACAGCGAGCAATGGATTGTGTCTGTAAATTTTATTGAATGAAATAGATCTGTTTCTTCGATGAAATACTAGTTGAATTACTAAAATCTAATTTTGCTTTAACGTTGATTTTTCTTGTCTTGCAGAAACACACGGGCACGTGTGGCTACGAGCCCCTCTACTGTGAGAACAAATGCGGCATGAAGGTGCAGAGAAGGCACCTCAGCCAGCACAAGTTGGGCGAATGCGCGAAAAGACTGGTGGCCTGTCGCTATTGCAATAAAGAGTTTGTTTTCGACACGCTTGGCGCCCACCATGCTAAATGTGGCCGTTTCCCAGTCGCCTGTCCGCATCGTTGTGAAACCGCAGTGTTACCAAGGGAGGATTTGGAGGTTCACTTGAAAGACCATTGCACCACCCATCTTCTGTCCTGCTCGTTTAAGGATGCCGGCTGTCGTTTCAAGGTACGTTGACGAATCGCTTGCATACATAAATTTTATAGTCTCATTGTTGCAGACGCGATTTTTAACAAATTCTATTTTTTGTTGCAGGGCAATAGGTTCTCGTTGGATAAACACTTGGAAGAGTCAGCGAAGATGCACCTGAGCCTCATGTGCAGCGTGGTAACGAAACAGCAACATCAAATAACCAGCCTCAAATCGGCTATCAGCAAGTTGTCATTAAATTACACTGGCACGCTAATATGGAAGATCACAGACTATAGTGCCAAAATGTCTGAGGCGAAGGCTAAAGAAGGCATGGAGTTGGTCAGCCCTCCTTTCTACACTAGTCAATATGGTTACAAGCTCCAAGTATGTTTAAGCTAATAATTAATCTTCAATGGTTCGCGCAAAAGAAGAAACTTGCTATTCACTCATTGATTGCCATAAAAGCTGTCCCATGTTGCAAGATTATGTCCCGTGTTGCAACTCATATAAATGAGTTGAACAGCTATGGTCAATGTGGGTGTATATTTCAAGTACCTTCTTTGTAGTCCCATAATTATACAAATTCACAGAATCTAGTGGAACTCTCGTAACTCGAAACTTTTATTTTCCAGGCATCGGTTTTCTTAAACGGAAATGGAACCGGCGAGGGAAGTCACATTTCCATATACATAAAGATCCTTCCCGGGGAGTACGATGCTCTGTTGCGGTGGCCATTCTCTCACAGTGTATCTTTCACGATATTCGACCAGACAGTGGTCGCGGAGAAGGCGTGCAATATTGTTGAAAGTTTTATACCCGATCCAACATGGAAGAACTTCCAAAGGCCCAGCCGCGAGCCTGACTCTCTCGGTTTCGGCTTTCCCCGATTCGTTTCCCACGAGATGGTGAAAAAACGGCACTTCGTCAAAGACAACACTATGTTCATCCGAGTGAAAGTCGATCCTAGCAAAATCGTAGCCGTTTAAGCATAACTCGTTAGCGCGTTACCTTAGCACTAACTCGACTACTATCGTTCTACGTAGCACACACTGATATCGTTTCACGTAAATAGTTCGATGCGGTTGTTGCGCATTTCTTATGTTACACGTAATGACAGTCCAGTAAATGTCTCACGATTATTGTATTTATTTTGCATCGGCCGTGTACTTGGTGTGATAGTGCGGAGTACTTTACATACAGGGCACATGGTACTTACGTTGTATACCATAGTAATATTTATTCAGGGTATCTCTGAAAGTTTTAGAGACAATAGTGCGGCGGTATCTCTGGATTTGTACGGATCGCTCAATCATGTCCTGTTTGAATTCGCTATCGGTGAGAAGACCATCGGTGCATCGATGATACAAGATGATACAGACCTTCGTTCGTGAACCGATACAATCCCCGAGTCTTCAAACACGTACATCACTGCCTCGAAAGCGTGTACAATTTTGGAGGTATCGCCGTAATGTCCATGGACAAGATCTTTCATTGGGAACTACATATAAATGTTCATACCGCGCTTTTCACGATTTGTATAAATTTTTAATTATTCCGACTTATAACTCCTAATTGTACCATAAACTCGATATTTCTGTTGCGTCACTGTTCCCAACGGTTTCAATCATTTGAAACCGTGATCTTCAATGTTCTAAGAGTTCACCGACAGAGCAACGTGTTTTGTTCACCGAAAGGGTCTACTTTTAAGAATTCAAATCAAAGATTATTAAAGGACTGTGTACTATAAGCTTAGGGAATGTAAATATTGTGAAAAAAAGAAGAGACACGGAGCAAGCGAGCAATTTGTCCACACGACAGATTTACTAATGTAAATACGCATTTACTACATGTTAGTGATAATGAGAAATTGTGATTGAGATGCTAGTGACTGTATGTAATGATTTAAGATTAAGAAATAATAAAACTATTATATCATGTTCGTATATTATACATATATTATGAAAGTAATTTCTTTTCTTTCATTCTACTAATTACTTCCACTAATAAGGTCTTATTATGTAATCTAATAATAAACACATATCGTTAGTTATTTACATACATATATTTACAACTTTAAAATAGATAGACAGTAGTCTCTGCTTCATGATCTTTGCGAGCTGTCCGGGTTTTGTGACTGAGGAGCTTTTCCAGTCTAGAAAAATGAAATTACATAGTACAGAGAAATCAAGCTTCATTCCTAATTCAATGAATTGATCAGTATACTTACACTTTGAATTCTATTCATTTGGTCTAAAGCATGTGGTAGCAATGGTCGTACACTATTAATTTCCATAGCAGTTAAATGATCCAATTTTGCATGCAACCCCTCACTTTTTAAAAAAGCATCTATGGATGTGCGTAGCTTGGACATCCTCATATCCCATATATCCTACAACATATTATTACATTTTAACATAAAATATTAATACGGTGGCAACAAAAAAGTTTGATATCTTTATTACCTTTATTGCTGTCCTTATCACATCAGAATCAGGTATGTCATCGCTACCATGGCTCAATAAAAGTTGTGCCTCGTCCATATAATGATTGCTAGGCATTTTGGTAAACAATCTAGGAACATGTAAATTTAAAATGCAAAGAAGTACTATTTTTCTGACAGAACGGAACAAGAACGTTCCGACTTACTTCGATAATTTTTCCTCTTCCTTCGCCTCGTTCAATATATCCGCGTTCATCCATTCCTGATTAATAATTCGACACTTCTGTTGCTGTTTGAGATTCATTGCCAACCAGATGGGAACTCTGACAGGTAGACCAGCACGAAACGGTCCTATCGATCCCGATATCAAATGAATCGTGTCGAAATTGAAATTCGGCACTATCGAAACCAACTCCTTTTCACCAAAAAACTCTACTTCACTCGGATCCATAATTATCGGCCCCTATTCGTCCATTAATTGTTAAACCAGATTATTCTTACTCCGAACAGTTCAACATCTTGCACTCACATCAGTCGCAGCTGCGCGACCATGCGCGACTATATGTTTTTGGCGGGAAACGAACGACGTGCCATGTTTGAAACGCTACCTGTTGCTAACTACGCTAACTTCAAATGCGTTCAAAACGCAAGCGCAAAGTAACCGCTACAGTATTTACGAGTTTCGAAATGAACACACAAGTCCAAAGCTATTGCAATGGAATTAATTCGCAATGAAACGAGCCACATGCGCCTAAACCTAAAAATGCAACTACATATTTTCAAGCAACGTCGCGTTAGGTAGTGACAGTTAACAACATTCCCACCGAAATATGGATGACAATTTTTATGACATTTATTTTGCTTCATCTTCGATACACAGTGTATACGGAATGAACATTAATACACGAACAACCATGTACGTCAATTTTTGCTGAAACTGTTGAAAATGCAATTATGCTTTCGCTTGTCGAAGTTTCTTTAAAACATCGAACGCGATCTCCTTCATGCGTAGGTTCAAATGTAATTCGTATCAGAGATCACGGCCTTTGGTTATGTTACAGATATGATGTTACAGATATGTTATTAAACAATCTTCTAGTTGTCAACGGTACGATCGACAAACAACAAATCGCCTTACTAAAAACATAGTCGCGAAATAATTATTACTCGATCTCGGTAAAAAAGTGAATGAATTATTCTCGCTACTCTAATCGTGTTAATGTCCTTATAACGTTACGGCTTGACACAGCACACTCATAGCATTCAAGATTAGCGACGGAGTGCGGAGAAACATAATCTCAAAAAACGTGATCAGTCAAAGGATTAAAGAATTGGGCATTAAAGAATTGACCAAGGTTACAGGATTGTTCAGGAGAATCTACTGCATCGATTGTATATAAAAAACGTAGATAATAACGCTACAAAACATAATTAATTGCTTGCTAAAGTTTCCTAAGTTATTATGTTAATTAATTGTGTTTTGCATTATTTTTGTGTGTCTTTTTCCACATGATATGAATACAGCAGATTCTCCTGAACAGTTCTGTGCCCTTGGTTAATTATCTTTTGCTCCAATTGTGCCATAATTAATGTTTCTCGGTGACCTGTATAGCGGTAAAATCGCGAACTAAATCAGAAAGAATATACGAACAAAAATAATATGATATCTTAAAAATTGTGGACCAAAAAATATTTAAAGGACACAGAAATATCCAGCAGAATTTCCTACATCCATATATGTTAAAAACATTTAAAAAATTACGTTATTAACTTTCTACAAATGATTCTTACCGTTTTCTCGATAAGAGACTGTATTAAAAACGGCACGAATTATTTGCTGTTTAAAATATAAAAATAGCGCCATTCACCGTAGTGGCAGAACGCTGATACTGCTAGATAAATTTACCCTTCGAGTGATTATCCACTAGAAATGCGTAGTAGCGCCACCTGGCGGTCTCTATCGGAATTAAATTTGGCAATGGTTTCTGCCTATTTCTCCCGAAAAACTGCACGGTCGATAATTCATCTACGAGTTTGAGCGTTTTGCCACTACGTCCAGTGGCGCTGTTTCGACATTTTCAGGAACAGATGAATCGTGCCGTATTTAACATAGTATCTTATGATAGAAGCGGCAAGAATCACTTGTACCCGTTATTTCAAACAATAAATAAACTTTCTTGTACGATATCGATGCTGGAGAATTCTCTCTCAAAAAACGTGATCAGTCAAATGTTCGCAGTCTTAATGCAAGATCGTAGTAGTGTAATAAAATATGCCTAACAATTTGTACGGGATTTGCAATGAGTATTAACATCAGGTCTCGGAATATCATACGTCGAACTAACGCTAACATCGAAAATACGTTCTGCGCTTGTTTCAATCACATGCGAATTGTCTATGTATATCGGGCATGCACGATCTATCGCCAACGATCATCGTTGACGATCAAGGATAGGAAGACTGTCAGCCTTCGTCCTTGCGCTCTATCGTTCCTTCGTCCGTTATCTCGCGAACAGAATCCACGTGATTCACGTCCACCTCGATCACAAAAATTGACGCGGGCGGTGTTTCCTCTACTCGATTAATTTCTGCCGGAAGTAACGGCATCATAGGCTTGTAGGTCTGCAGTTCCATCGAGGACACGCAAGAAGGTGCCCTCGACAAACTCGAGTCGATCCGATCGTTCACGTAATTGTCGCTCTCGCTTCGGCGATCCTCGTTGCTGTTTTGGCTGACGTTATCGTTGCTACAACCGTCCGCCTCCTGCTTATCGCTATGCGACGAACTCGACCCATCGTTCGCCTCCGACATAACCTCCTTTTCGCGAATCGACGCGTTCCTGGACATAGCCGTGGGTTTGCATCTTACGTCGGTCACCTGTGTGGGAACGAAGCATTATTACCGATCGCTGATAAGATAATGTATATTTCCAATAAACAGTGGGAGCACAGATAAAATATCGCAACATTATCGGAACTGCAGAAAACTTGCAGCTGTTGAGTACTGATAGCGGCAGGATCGTTAAAGAGGAATTTTATTCATCTCGAATTTAACGTCACTGCTGTCTGAAGTCGAAATAATTTTGAGCACACTAATTTTGTACAGTTTTTAATTATTATTGGACGTATCGATTGATTGAAAATGCAAATGACACCTGACCTGGCGCAACAAACTGGATCGCTGATTCCTAGCAGACAATCCAGCTTGCCTCTGCAATTGTCTCTGCGAACCGACTAACGATCCTCGATCATGGATCACGCTGACCACGCTGGACTTCACGTCGCTGTTAGGAAAAAGAAGCTTCCACATGAAGTTCTTCAGCGCCGCCCGAAAGTCCTTCAGATGATAGGCGTACAGCAAAGGGTTCCCGGCCGAGTTCAAATGCGACAGGATGATGCAGAAGTGCATCAGAATGTCGTTCACCTTGCAGCGGGGACAGAAAGCCATCACGCAGTTGATCGTGTACAGGGGAAACCAGCAAATGATGAAAAAGATCACGATGCGGGAGAGATTCTGCGTGGCCTTGACTTCGCGTTTGCGAGCCGCGCCGAGGAGACGCAGCATCGGACCAGTCGTCGTTTGGTTCCCAATGCGACGACCAGGATTCATCGTTACTATTTGCTGTAACTGTTCACGTATTATTATTCAACCAAACAAACGGGCTGCAATTCTTAACGAAAAAAAGAATAAATTAAATTGAAATAAAATTTGTTAACACTTCCACGACCGCGCTGGAAACCTCAAAAATTTTTATGAAATTAAAATATTTCATTCGATTAAACAAAAATTACGAAGCAAACTTATATGACATCGAATTACTTCTTCAGCATTCGTACCTCTTGCAAATCTTAATAAAATTAAGCGATCATTTTTAATTTTTTCATTAATCATCCATTCGGTCGTCAATCGACTGAATTTAAAACGGGGAGATCTCCCCGTTCGGTTGGCTAAGTGTTAACTCCCATCCGTTCTTCGTTTCTTCGAGTTCTTCTGCATTTCGGTGTTAGATCGTTACAGTAGAACGATACGTGATTCTCGTAAATTATTTTTATTGAAAAAGAGAAATTTTTCAGAAGCACTCGGAGATGTGACAAATTGTCACAAGCAACGGATGAGTATTATAAAATTAAAGTTAATTATTGGTAAACATTGTAGAGCTTGTACAAGTTTATTTTTTTAGGTGAATTAACTGTTTCACACACAGTCTACAATATTTAATACTTCCATCGATTAAAGAACAAGATCTGAGAAGATTATTCATTTTTCATGCATTTTCAGAATTATGCATTTTCGTACATCAGGACCTATACCGTAGATTTTCATAACTATGTCTATATAAGGCTTTTTAAAAAGTGACCTAGTTACGTGACACAAACACTATCACCACATAGTGGTAAACGCCAGAACTAAATTTCTCTATATACGCTATGCAGGGTCGCCAAAAAACATTAATTGTGGCATTATCAGGGCATTAAAGAATTGATCAAGGTTACAGGATTCTTCAGAAGAATCTACTGCATCGATTGTATATAAAAAACATACATAATAACGCTATAAAACATAATTAATTGCTTCCTGAAGTTTCCTAAGTTATTATGTTAATTAATTATGTTTATTATTATGTTTATTAATTGTGTTTTGCATTATTTTTGTGTGCTTTTTCCACATGATATGGATACAGCAGATTCTCCTGAACAGTTCTATGCCCTTGGTTAATTATCTTTTGCTCCAATTGTGCCAAAATTAATATTTCTCGGTGACCTGTATAGCGGTAAAATCGCGAACTAAATCAGAAAGAATAAACGAACAAAAATAATATATCTTAAAAATTGTGGACCAAAAAATATTTTAAGGACACAGAAATATTCAGCGGAATTTTCTACATCCATATATGTTAAAAACATTTAAAAAATTACGTTATTAACTTTCTACAAATGATTCTTACCGTTTTCTCGATAAGAGACTATTAAAAACGGCACGAATTATTTGCTGCTTAAAATATAAAAATAGCGCCATTTACCGTAGTGGCAAAACGCTGAAACTGCTAGACAAATTTACCCTTCGAGTGATTATCCACTAGAAATGCGTAGTAGCGCCACCTGGCGGTTTCTATCGAAATTAAATTTGGCAATGGTTTCTGCCTATTTCTCACAGATGGCGTGATAGTTCTCCCGAAAAACTGCACGGTCGATAATTCGTCTACGAGTTTGAGCGTTTCGCCACTACGTCCAGTGGCGCTATTTCGACATTTTCAGGAACAGATGAATCGTGCCGTATTTAACATAGCATCTTATGATAGAAGCGGCAAGAATCATTTGTACCCATTATTTCAAACAATAAATAAACTTTTTTGTACGATATCGATGCTGGAGAGTTCTCTGAACATTTCTGTACCCTCGGAATGTTCTGTGGACGTTACATTTCCCAGGTAACAGAGATTGAAATTTCCGAAAGCACAAAACTACGCATACTTTTGGTGTATTAAGTCATCCGAAAAATTCTGCAGTTTCTCACTGTTTTGCAAATAAACAAAGAAGTAGTTAGAGAAGAGAAATTTTTCTATCATCGAACAGATTGCAAACAATCTCATTTAACAAAATGAAGATTATCCGAATGAATAGAGTTTTGTATTGTTTGAACATTGTTTCCTTAGATCTTATCATGAATCTTTTAGGATTATCTTCCCGCCAATTATGGTGGCTCTAAGAACACACTTAGCTTTCATCGTGCGCAGATGCATAGGTCATTTAGGAAACTTTCATGGATCGTCCTGCACAGATCGTTCCACCGTGGAAGCATGAAAGTCTGACTAATACGTGTCATCAATAACACGAGCGCTAAATTTCCAGTAAGTCATGCGAGCGCTATCAGGGTCGTTGATTTAGTTGGAAAAGTCGTCGGATGAAGAGATGACGACGTGACATAACCAAGAAAAATGAGGCGTAGGATGTGCGGTAAATTCTTCCTAATTTTCCTTCAACATGTAAACAAAAATGGACAATTTAGGAAGATGAGAGATAGGATTATTCGAACCTTGCATAACAGGATTATTATTATAGGATTATTATTATATTATTAATAGGATTATTCGTTTTTATAATCGTCAATCGGCAACTCGAATAATCGTATCTCCTCTTCCTAAATTGTCCATTTTTGTTTGCAAGCTGAAGGAAAGTTGGGAAGAATTTACTGTATTGCGAATCGAATCGTACAAATCATCGCAAAGAAGAATTTCATTCTAGAAAATCATTGGCGGAAGTAAAGAGGGGCCCGCAAACGTGTATCGCCTCTTCGTTTAATTCGTTGTCATGTTTACGGACCGTCAACGCGTACATTTACGATCAACCGTCTCACCTGTTTTACGACCACTCTGTATATATGGGCGTAAAAGGCTGCAATTATTAGCGCTGGGAAGATGATCGTGGCGAAGTAGAGGAACACTAGGTAATCGTAATCCATCACTTCGGTGAAGATGCATTTCTCGTTCGATTTCTTGCCGGTGTTCCAGCCTAACAGCGGCAGAAAACCGACCAGTGTCCCGGCGACCCAGCACAGGCAAATTATACCTGCAATTAGACGGGGAGTTATCATTGCTGTCGTCAGTTTTTGTAAGCGGTCCTTCGCAGCCAGCGTTTGCAAACGATTCGAACAGGATTCGATCGTATACGCCGCCGCAAAAGTAATGATGCAACTTTTATTCTTTTTCTCCTAACGCGGAAATAAATGTCCGTTTTTTTTCTAGCTGCTGCAATGGTTTATCAAAAAAAAAAAAGAAAAACAATTGCGTACGAGGGATAGATCCCCCGCAGCAAAAAGTGATAGTGCGGAAAGTCGGTCAACGGTACCGTCGATAGGAGCGCACGTGAACATTATCGATTGCAGAGCAGGGTAATAAACGCACCTTTTTCGTTCGCCAGAGAGATGGTATCAGTCAGCGTGGTCGTAATTAAAATCACTCGAGCCATAAACAGGCGAAATGCTTGAATTAATCACGACCATCCGATCAGCAGAATGAGGAACGCGTAGCCCAGCAATTAATTCTTCCGCGGATTGTCTTCAATTTATAATGGCAGAGGCACGAATTGCAAGCCATTCCCTTTTTATTTCATCGAATTAAGCTTCACGAATGTAACGTGACGTTCGGTCGCTTTTCATTTTTATACATTTAAAGTAGGAACGACGAAGTCTCCTTCAGCCTTCTCGCAATAAAAAGTATCAAAAATATACTATTTCTCGTATAATATTAAGACGCAAGGAATAATAAATATTTTATATAATAGGAATAGTAATAATGAAAAATAATAAATATATATGTTTATATACATTAATAAATAAATATATGGAAATATAATTATATATATAAATATAGTAGTTAATATATATTATATATATTTATATATATATTTTTTTTTAATCTCTTGTCGTTCTTTAACGAATCTAACTCGTAACAGAGTTTTTCTAGTAAGAACCCGTTAATTACAAATGTCATTCCGTTCTTTTAAATTGGAATAAAATTCTGTTCTATTCACCACAATATTTAAGAATTCAAGGAAACGTAGGCACACAATGAACATAAATTTTCTTCTGTTTCTAAGAAATAATTATAATCGTGAAACATCCGGTCATCGTAACTGTGAAGAAAATGATACGACAAGGGCAATGAACACCATCGATATCTTGTTGGTCAAAAGACTTAGTCCTTCCAAAAATTGAATATTCGACCAAGAATAGCAATATTTCCGTACGACGTTACTCGACTCGCTGTGATTTTCTTATTTCGCGATTCCCTGTACAGAAACACGTGTGCAAGGATACGATTTCCATCATCAATGGAAGATAGAAGGGCGAAGAGAAGGGACAGTCCTTCGGGAAATCGAACGAATGGGCATCGGATAGATGCGTTTCACGTGTCCCGGTATTTTTGAAGTTCTTTCGATGATTCGACTATTTTGCAATGACACTGCGAGCGGACTACGAAAATTTTCTTAACATTGAAAATCTACAGGAATAAAAATCGGACAAGTTTCTCCAATTTATTACCGTCGCCAATTATTTGAATTTACTCGTGGCGGCAGGCGATTACAGTAAATTCTCCTTAATTTTCCTTCAGCTTGTAAAAAAATGGACAATTTATACGATTATTTATCGCACCCCGTTTTTATAATTGTTAACAATCGGTAACTATAAAAATCTCCTCTTCCCAAACTGTCCATTTTTGTGTACGATCTGAAGGAAAATAATAGAGGAAGGAAAATTAATAATAATATATTTACTGTATATTCTAATTCCGACAGAAACCTCGACGACAGTTCCGAGCAAAGACAGCTGTAATCGGAGACGAACGAGGATCGAAATCAGCGCAAGTGATGCGAGTCAATCGCATCGAGGACCAGCTAAAAATTCGCGGGATCGACCGACGAGTATGGATATCTTACCGTTGCACAATCCAACGAACCAGTTGTAACAGCGTTTCCCAGAAGACCCGCGCGCGCATTCGTTTAATTAAACAGAGACGGAACAACATTCACGGGCAATTATAATTTGTAGTATAGTTTACCCAGGGGGGGTCCGTCACGTGCGCGACCGGATTCGCGCGAGCGCTTTCCCATCGAAATCGCCCGATATGTTTGGCGTTTCGTTTCGATAATGGAAAGAACACAACACGGGATTTAACACTAGATTTACGGGGCACAAAAAACAGCTGTTTTATATTAGTTTATAAAAGTAACGATAAAACATTCATTCTCTGATTTTGAACAAGCGTTATTGTAACATTCGCCGTGATATATAAATTGAATAAATAACTGATAAATGTATCTTTATGACATGAATGATCGTAAATTAAAAAATTAGTGACCCGTCATTTTGACGGGTTCCGTAAATCTAGTGTTAAAGCGAAATGTTAATTTTTAAAGTAATATTTCGTGCGACAAGTCTCGTTGGTGTAATCTCGAAGTAACAGTTGTCTAGTTTTTATACGCCTCGAACGAGATGTATCACTCGTGAGAACTGAATTAAACGAACATTTTTTTATACAGAACTAAAAGTTATATTGTTCTAGAATTTTGGCGGCCGTAAAGAGAAATCTTTTAGTTTAGTTCGCTATTCCAGGACCATGGAGTCCATGAGACTAGAAAATTTGCAGTACACATTTTTGACACATTGCGCTATTGATTTATTTAAAAAAAATTGTTCTTTTTTGACCCGCTACACGAGAATGCACCCCTCGAGCGGACAGTTTCCCTTTTTACGCTAAAATCATATTTCACTCGAAGCGTATAAAAACTAGGCAACCGTTATTTTTCAATATATATATATTTTCGTATAATATTATTTAATATTATATATAAATAAATATTATTTAAAAAATTGATATTTCATTGATATTCTTTCTTAGAAGTTATCTTAACGCTTGTAATAGTATGTCGTCGCGATGGATCATAAAATCATTGTTAGAAGTGAGATAAGAGTATGTTGTTGTTGGCTTGCTGGAAAATAGATGGCTGTTCGAAACGTGGATCGTGTTTCCCTGCGACGTAAATTAATAACTTCCCGGCGGTAAATGCATTAGCGATAACTTCTCGGAGACATAATCTCTTTCATATCTCGGACTAATAACCGACCTTTAAGTACAAAATTGTACAGTTTTTTTTTCCCTCGTTGAACCAGAGTCGTTAAGTGAACGGTATCGTTCGATCGTCCGTTAATCGCAAGATGAAAAAGTTCGAAATAGAACATAATCGAAGAATGACGTTTCGTCGACCGCAATGAGATTACTGCGAGGGTCGTGTTGGGAATTAATTTCGCGAAACGCGCCACCGAACGTCTTATTTACCAAGAACAGGCGCACCACCTGTTGCCAGTTGTCGCCGCGATTACTTTCCGCGATTCTGCATCGTTTTCCGTCCCATTTAAAATCGCTGGCTTCTTGCTCGCGACGTTAACGCGCCTTTTTCGTAAATCGTTTACATACACGGCTACTCGGAACGAGAGGCCGGAGCCTCGGACAATGTCACCTGAGAGGTTGCATTGGCACAATGTTGTCCAATCAGTCGTGACAGGGCACGAATCTCCGTGCTCTAATGCATTCCGAGACGTGACAGACATTCGTTATTGTTGCGTCTGTTTACGATCGAAACAAGCGGAAGATGCGATGCTACGGCGACTCGAGATTCTCGCGACAATCCTTCGAATTTACCAAAAATTATACCGAGGCTCCTCGGACGCTTTTGTCGAGCAATATTTAGCGCTAGATTTACGGAACCCGTCAAAATGACGGGTCACTAATTTTTTAATTTACGATCATTCATATCGCGAAGATACATTTATGAGTTATTTATTCAATTTATGTGTCACGGCGAACGTTACAATAACGCTTGTTCAAAATCAGAATAGACGTCTTATCGTTACTTTTATAAACTAACATAAAACAGCTGTCTTTTCGTAGTCTTTTTGTGCTCCGTAAATCTAGCGTTAATTCTAGCGTTAGTTCGCTCGAAGGGTGGATTCTCGTATAACGGGTCAAAAAAGAACATCTTTTTTTTAATAAATCAATAGCGCAATGTGTCAAAAATGCGTACTGCAAATTTTCTAGTCGTAATTTTTTACTCCATGGTCCTGGAATAGCGAACTAAATTAAAAGATTTCTCTTTACAGCCGCCAAAATTCTAGAACAATATAACTTTTAGTTCTGTATAAAAAAAATGTTCTTTTAATTCAGTTCTCACGAGTGATACTTCTCGTTCGAGGCGTATAAAAACTAGACAACTGTTATTTCGAGATTACACCAACGAGGCTTGTCGCGCGAAATATTACTTTAAAAATTAACATTTCGCTTTAACACTAGATTTACGGAACCCGTCAAAATGACGGGTCACAAATTTTTTAATTTACGATCATTCATGTCATAAAGATACATTTATCAGTTATTTACTCAATTTATATATCACGGCGAATGTTACAATAACGCTTGTTCAAAATCAGAACAGACGTCTTATCGTTACTTTTATAAACTAACATAAAACAGCTGTCTTTTTGTAGTCTTTTTGTGCTCCGTAAATCTAGCGTTAATTCCGCGAAGAACGTATGCAGCGTCGGCCACCAAAACCATCGTTCAACGGTGGTTCTGCGAGCTTTCCTAGAAAGTTACCTAAATAACGTAATCCGAGGATCCCCCCTCGAGCTAACGTTTCCCCGACGCAGCCCCGAAGCGCGACCTAAGCGCGTCCGATTACCGGTCGATCGTCGCGCGTATTACCGAATCGCATAACTCATCCCTTACCTATGGCAGTTTTAGTGCGTACGGTGCGCGAGTATCCCATGGGGTGTAGTATCGCCCAGTAACGATCCACGGACACCGCCACCAGGCAGAAGATGCTGATGGTGCAGAGGACCATCAGCACGGACACGGTGAACAGGCAAGCATGAAGATTCGTGGGCAACCCTATGCTGGCGAGGATCGCGAAGGGTATCGCGAACAGGCCGACCAACAAGTCCGCGGTGGCCAGCGAGATGATGTAGTAATTGGTTCGCCGGCGGAGCTTCCTCTCCTTGCTGAACACGATGATCACCAGGCCGTTCCCGAAGATCGCGCACACCGCCACCAGGATCTCGCAGACGGTGTACAAAGGGTTCAGCTCGGAGCTGGTGGACGCGGTGACGGCGGTCAGAGTGACATTATCGGCCAGCTCGGTGGTATTCGATGGAAATTCCATCGCGGCGCGCGGCGGTGCACGGTCCGCTCTCTCTCTTTCTCTCTCTTTCTCTCTCATCTATCTTCCTCCTCGATTAATTAGCCGAGAGCCGTGACAGGGCGCTGATCAAGCTCGGCCAGCTTGATGCGGCGTCTTCGTACGTACCTTGACAAACGGGCGTCCGCGTGCGGTATCAAGATAATTGCCATCGTCCTCATTGATAATCGATGTTCATTTGTCTTCGCCAGGCTAATTGGAGCAACCTGTTTCGCCGCGCGTCGCGTGACAAACGCTTTCCCCCGCCGGCTTTTTAATGGATACCCTTGATCCGATCTGCGGAACCGCGGCGTCCGGCGAGCCGAGTGTCACGCGAGTCCGATGCCACAATTTTCAACGGATCCTCCTCCGTGCTCGGACAAGACAACGAAGACGCGCGCCGACGAGCTTCCGTTCAACCTTTCCGGACAGGCGACCCGTCCGCAGCTTCCGGTAGTCGGGACACGCTCGAAGGTGATCGATCTTCTTTAAGGGAGAGGCCAGTTCGGCATCACCTCTCCGTATGGGCGCCGCTGTTTGCTCCACTTCGAACGCGACGATCTCCACGCTGGCGCATGTTAACACGACGGAAGCATCGTCTCGCTCGTCGAGGAAGGTCCCAGGACCTGATCGTCGGCGTCCAAGAATATTGGAATCCGCGTCGATCATCAAAGCGCATCCGAAGCGTATTTATCGGCCGCCGAGCAGCCAAGGATTTGGGTCCCCGCCAAGAGCCACGCTCCTCAAGAGTGATACAAGACTCTATATCCAGCTGGACGATTAAAACTACACGAATCGTAAATCTCCGCCGCGATCCCGGCGACGAACGGCGACCGGCACTGATTCTCACGGGAGTCGAGACGGTGTGTCCGAGTCAACGGTGTCCAGCCGCGACCGCGCCGATCCTCGGTGTTCGCGAAGACGGCCGAACTTTCGCCGACACCTCCGCTACGCAGGAACGATTAAAGTCCGCACAATGGGCAGGGAGCATCGTCGGGAGGACACCAATCATCAATCCTCGGGCCGCGGCTCTATGCGCCGGCAAGTCGGCCGGAAGGTCAGCCTTTGTGGGCTAGTCGGCGAACGCGCAGAGCCCGGTCACGTCTTCCGCAAACGTAATAAGCCTCGTTGAAAGATAGTCCGGCGGTCTTTCAACGGCTCCAGGAGCAGCCTGCGGCCAATCTGTGCCGCAGGTTTCGCGTCTACAATGGGTCAACGGATCGGCCGTTGCGGACCGACGCGAACGGAAACGACGTCTCGCGACTCGCCGCGCTCATTCTGTCGGCGTTTCGAGTTCGGCCACGTTTCGGCCGCGTAGTTGCCGAGCTTGTTACGGGCTTCCTCGAGCTTGCGGCGCATGTTCGGCGAGGGGTGAGCGTTACACGTGCCGCCGGCCGCGTTTCAAGGGTATTATGGTCACGGCCCGATCCTCTCAGCAAAAGCCGCGGTGGTGCTGGACCTCGCGCGATCGACGGCTCCGAGTCGCTCCTCTCGTCGGGATTTCGATCACCCTCATTTCCCCACCGACGCCCTCCTAGGTGGTCGCACGGAGATAATTCAACGATCCTCGCCTTTCGCCCTCCGATTTGATCGCGCAGCCTCGCCTCGCGTCGTCCGAGATCCGGGTTTCACCGCTGGAAAAGAATGTCGCAGAAATCGCTCGTTTCCTCGCTCGTCAGCCTTCAAGGTCGACGCTCGCGAAGGGCAGATTCTAGGAGAAGTTTCGATCGTAGAGCGATCCTCCGACGGTCGTCGAGATTCGCGTCGACGAGCATTAACGCGTTCCGCGCCGACTAAAATTCCCACAAAGTTGAAGCAATTTAACGAATTACTGTAATTTGGGAAGAGGAGATACGATTATTCGAGCCTCGCAACTCGTTTTTATCCCTTTGCGCTCGAAGCTATCTTAACTGTAAATATAAAATAATCTTCTTAACTTATAATATCTTTATTTTATATGACAAAATGCATTTTATGCATATGAAATTGACTCTTGGGACTCGCGCAACAGTTACACTCTTAACAATTTTTTAAATTCAAACTTTGTTCATATAAAAATTATCTTGAAACGTGATGTAACAAATTTTAGCGGTGCCTCTGAGTCACCACTCGAGTATAATCGTTGACAATTCGTGATTATAAAAGTGAATCGCAAGAATCGAATAATCGCATCTCTCTTCCCAAATTGTCCATTTTCGTGGACAATCTGAGCGTCAATTAGAGAGACATTACTGTAAACCGAAACTAGAAAGTTAAGATTTATTTATAGCGATAGAGATTTATTTAGATAATAGATTTAGATAGGATTTAGAATAGATTTAGATAATAGAGATTTATTTATTATTATTTATTTCCATACAATGGAAATTCAGTTCGTTCGAGTATATTAGAATGAAAACGAATGTTCAAAATTAGTAAAAAATTAGTGTCGCCCGCGTACCGACGCGATGCTCGACGTGTTCAAGTTCACGGCTGCTTGAGCTAGAGAACTGCAACGTTGCTCTGGACGATCGATGATCGATGTTTCTCACCGGCGACTCGATCGGAACTTTAATTTCGCGCGTTCGACCGGATCGCCGCGTCGGTCGCGGTTGCGTCGCGCCCGCGAGGCTATTTCAAAGTCGCGGTTGTTCCGAGTGGGCGCGAAACAGCTGACAGGGGGAAGATTCGCGGAACAGCGCGCGCGAACTATCCGAGTTTCGATCGGAAAGTTTTCCCGGGACTTTCCGCGCGAAGTGTTCCCCGAGCGAAACAACGAGCCCACGTCGGAACTGCACGCGGCTGGCGCATTGAAAAAGCACTTAGAAAGCGATAAGGGAGTCTGTCGCTCTGCCACAAAAGCGTGCAAATTGCTAGACTCGTCGGAGACGCGGTGCTTTTTTATCGAGCCACGAGACGAACGCGGTTCGATCGGACAACAACGCCGGGGGGATCTACGCACCGCCGTTCAATGTTTCACCGAACAATTACCGAAATTATACTGAATCGCTGCGAAAAAATTAGCTGTATCTCCGCGTTATCCGTTGGAAGTCTCGTGTTCCAGAAATCTTCTCGCCGCGAGCGCGTCCGAGCCGGGCCCATTAAAAATCATAAAAGCTAGGCTTCGGCATCGAAGGTCGAAAGGGGGAGATATAAAAGTCGTCATAAATAATAACGTTTTAATATCACGCATACCGGGTGCTCTATTCTAAGCTTCTGCGTCCATCTTTATTTATAGAGGCTTCGCGTATCACGTCCTCAACATAATTATAACCGTCCGAATATCTCTTTACCGAACGGGAAGAAAAGACGAATATCCTCTCGTCGACCTAACAATCGCGCGTTCCATTTAGCGCTGATATCGTTTATTTTTTTAAACAGGTTCCCGTTGCCGGATACCGATCCGGCATCCCCGATAAGCAATATCGACGCGTGCACTGGCCCCTCCCCCGTTAATCAACGTCAATCAACCGCGCGGCGCGTTACTTTTTTCCGGGCCAGTCGACGATCGATCGACGATCGACGTCGATCCCTTCCGGCCACGGTCTCCGCAAACGGACCGAATTGAACGGCGCGAAATAAACGTCGCACTAGGGACGGAACGCGTCCGACTTCCCAACCCCGTGGCGCGTAACTGAGTTCCTCTTCGTGACAACACGGGGACACCGCGACGGTGGAGGTGGAATCGAAGCGGATTGCTATACATATAGATTATGGTGGCAGCAGAAGAGGACGCGGAAGAAAAATTCGTGCGCGTCCTGCAACGGCCCTCGCTCGTTCCGATCGAACAATTCGAATAATCACGCCGTGCTAAGAGCCGGCATGGAAACGTGAGGACGTAACGAATTATGTATGGTGATTGATAGTTTCGCGGACGGCGTGACGTGATTATCTTGCAACGATGAGGAAACGCGGAGAGCGTATAGTTTTCCCCGGTCTCGGTACACGATGAAACGAATCCGCGTGAAAAGTTGAACGAGTTTCGCAAATTTTGTGGAGATTCACATTACAGCTAGTTTATCAAGTAGAACGTAAGTATACGTCGACGGTTTTGTTAACACTTTGACGGCCGGAGTCGCGTACACGTGAATTATATTCGAGTATTGAATTGTATAATTAATAATAATGTGATATATCATGTAATCGATGATTATATAATTTTCGAATTTGAATTGTGTAATTTGAATTATAGAAGTCGATGTAGCGAAACTTTCCGAAGAATGCATCGTAATTGTATTATTAGCCAAATTTATCCTGTTTATATTATTATTAAGATACATCATAATTGCACTATTTAAAAAAGTGTACTATAATTACACTGTTAATACTTTGACCGCCGCGACACCCACGTATGGATAACAGAGATATTTAAAATGATCGAAAGTTAATTTCTTCGCCGGACGATTATAATTTCTTAATTTTACGAAGGTTCGCAAAGCGTAAGAATAGTTGGAAAAGTAACATATGCCGCATAAATTTGCTGCACAATTTTTATATATTTCACCGAATAAAGTACTTTAATTTTATGAAACTTTCGAGACGTTTGCCGCTGCCGTGAAAGTGTTAAAACTGAAACGAAACGAGTTGATTTCTAAAAAGATACAATTATGTTGATAATCGTTGATAATTGTTGAATTATAAAAACGAGATTCGAGAGTAATCGTGTCTCCCCTTCCCAAATTGTCCATTTTTGTGCTGAATCTGAGCCTCAATTAAGTTGGAATTTAGTTGCAAAATGTGGATTGCTCGGTACGTAGACTCGCGTTCTTTTGAAAACTGTCAAGATTCGTAATTGAAGGAACGTGCAGAATTCAATAAGCCTCGGCACATTCGCGCGCGTGCGATATACTGGAAGTTCACCCCTTGCGGGAATAAGTGGTAGAAATTAGTTTAGAGTCCTCCTCCTCCTCTTCCTCCGGTGAAATTAAGAGTTCCTTTCCTCCGGGAACTTTCCGTGGCATTTCTCGGCGCTCGAAGTTTCAGCCTCGTCGATACAAGAAACTTTGTTCGCTGACAGGATCAATTTCAAGCTTTTCAATCCCTTTTTATTGCTACACACCGCGCGGGCCTTCGTTGCGCGCAGAAATGTTCAGAAACTTGCGAAGTACAAGCTTACGTGAAACATCGGTTTACGATTAATCTTCGAAATTTGTCCGCGCAAACGATTTACAAACGTAAAGGATCCTGTTTAGAAACGAAACCTGTTATCGAAATATTATATATTGCGTAAAGTGATCCATGATGCGTGCACGTGACTGCCACATGGTCAGTAAAAATAGAGAACATTATTCTTTCCTCGGGTTATTTATACGGGTCCAAAAACGTATCAGAATCACATTTGTCTACTCCCCCTGTATACAGGGTGTCCCAAAATTATGGTACTTTCGGGAAATGAGAGGTTCTTGATGTTATTTGAAGTAACTTTTTCCTCAGCGAAAATGCAATCCGCGGCTTCGTTTACGAGTTATTAACGAAAAACAGTGACCAATGGGAGGCGAGATTGGCTGGCGCGCGGCGGCCGAGCCAACCACGGTGCTCGGTTCCGCTCATTGGCTCGGTCGCCTAGCGCCGAGCGAACTCGCCCCTCATTGGTCAGTGTTTTTCATGAATAATTCGTTAACGATGCCTCGGAGAAAATTCTTGTAAAGGAAAAAGTTGCTTCAAATCACCTCAGCAATCCCGCATTTCTCGTAAATACCATAATTTTGGGCACCCTGTATTTTGTTAGCAACGGACGCTTTCGTTGGATTCGGTACACGCGTTGTTACCTCTGATTAGAAATGCGGCGCTATCCGCGGCTGCCGATCGTAGAAAAGTCCTAGAAACGCGTCGTCTATTTACCAGACTGCCACGCAAACAACCAGGTGTTTGTTAACCCGTTCGACACTGGGCTCGATCGAATTACTGCCAAGGCTAACCAGAGCTCGCGCATTTTTCGTTCTCTCTTTCGCGGAAGCTGGAGACGCTGAATGCTCGGCGTTGACCATAATGCTTCCAAGTGGAAAATTGCATTTGATGCACACTCTCATCTTCTACTTTACGACTGCGTTCTTTGTTTCGTATCAGCGATATTCCAGTTGTATTATCGCGGGTGGCTATCGGCGAACGAGAGCAACCCGGCGCGAAAAATTACGCGTCGCAATAAAATTATCGATGTAGTTTAATTGTCTGGCCAGTCTCAAGCGTGTCTACGACCCTCGCCTGTTATTATATCGTTCTAATAGCTGGCAATTACGTAATTAACCTGATACGCGGCGGGAGCCATTGGCTTCCGCGTATTTCACGACCGCGCGCTGAAGAAAAGGCGTGGGAGGGGTGGACTAATTGAAACTCACGATTCGGATTTTAATATACGTTTCTCGGGGATATAATACGGGACAGTCTTTTTTTAATCGAATAATCCCGCCGCGCATTTCCGTAGGTAATCTACGCCGACGACGCGTCGAGTGCTGGAAAGAGTAATTCTATTGGGTTGGCAACTAAGTAATTGCCGATTTGTTCAATGATATAAAAAATTTCTTTTTACTTGGAATGAAGTTTAATCTGTTATTGCGCACTACAGTAATTTCTCTCCTAATTCGCGCTCAGATCGCGCACAGAAAATGGACAATTTGGGAAGAGGAGATATGATTATTCGTGCCTTGCATCTCGTTTTTACAGTTGTTGACAATCGGTAACTATAAAAACGAGGTGCAAGGCTCGCGTAATCGTATCTTCTCTTCCGAAATTGTCCATTTCTATTTACAAGCTGAAGGAAAATTAGCGAGAGTTTACTGTACTTCTTAATTTCCGTTTCTACTAATTCTTCAAATTTGAGAAAACGGAGTTCCGGTTGCTATTCTTTAATTGTATTGCCATCACTTGGAAAAAGTGTCCTTTGAATTTATCATTTTTTAGAATTTTTTCTTCTCACCCGGAAGTCTCAACAGCTGTACAGCAGTACTAATCTCTGAATATTGCGCACAATATGTAATTATTGCGCACTACAGTAATTTCTCCCTAATTCGCGCTCAGATTGCGCACAGAAAATGGACAATTTGGGAAGAGGAGATACGATTATTCGTGCATTGCGTCTCGTTTTTACAGTTGTTGACAATCGGTAACTATTGGGTTGGCAACTAAGTAATTGCCGATTTCTTCAATGAAATAAAAATTTTTTTTTTACTTGGAACGAAGTTTAATCTGTAATGTATTTTCCATTTTGTTCGATGACCTTTTGCCATCTCTCTGACAACTTGAAAATTCCACGCTCGTAGAAAGTCTGATCCTTTTCGGCCAAAAACCGAGTTAAGTGAGATTTTACAGCGTCATCGTCATTAAAAGTTTTACCACGAAGGGAGTTGTCCAGGGATCGAAATAAGTGGTAATCCGATGGCGCGAGATCAGGGCTATATGGTGGGTGTAACATCGATTCCCAACCAATATCCATCAATTTTTGCCGAGTGGACAAAGACGTGTGCGGCCTAGCATTGTCCAGCTGGAAAATGACACCTTTACGATTGACCAATTCTGGTCGCTTTTCCTTGACCGCTGCATTCAATTTGTCCAGTTGCTAACATTCACGGATAATAAAAATTAACATAATAATAATAATAATAATTTTATAATATAACATTTACGGATATCATAAAAATGGGAGTGAGAGATATCTATAACTTGCCAACCCAATAGATGAAATTAAAATTGAAAAAAGGAGTGCTGGAAAGAGTAATCTAGATGAAATTAAAATTGAAAAAAGGGGACGCGTCCGAGACGGTTTCAACGTTGTATCGAAGACGATTTCTTTGCTTTACTTTTGTTCTATGATTTAGGTACAGTTGTTAGGAACTTATCGGAGCCGCATAGTTACACGATTTTTTGTCAATACGACACAGAGCTTCGCGGCTACGAAGATTGATAGCGGAGAAATGGTGGTAGCGAACGTGTTAAGCCCTCTCGGATAATAGCAGCGCGCCTAATAGTCATTGATTACAAGCGACGCGTGTCCTCTGGCTTAAAGACGCTTCCTTCGGCAAAGGAGCTCTTAACGAATAGTGAACGGGACCATTCGAGGTAATTCAAACGTGATTATTGTTCATAACAGGCGCACAACTGGTCGTTTGTGGGCGCATAAAAGGACGCCTAACCGCGCCGCAGAGCTGAATGCCTGATAGAGGTGGGCTACTCGATGAGAATGCAAGTTGCACCGATGCAAGTCGAAAACGGGTCATGTTCGTGTTGCATTGAACACGCAACACCCGTCGTCCATCGCACTAAATATCTAATGACTTAATGCGACTAATGTGATTGGAAATATGGATGATCTTAGGAACGGTGGCAGAGAGTCGAAATTACCGTAGAATATTTTTTACGATTAATGAGAAAGCGTGAATTTGCCGCGTCTATGCTATATCTTTATTAGTACAATCGTTGCTAATGATTTGTCTGTGAAATATTTGTATTCGCGTACCAAGGGATCAGGGGTCAAATAATTCAAAGTAGAGTCATGTATAATTATTACGTAACCGTGTGTTAGCGGTTAACCGTGTCATGATCAGCTTGTTGTAGCACACTTTATTAAGGTAATAGTTAGCTCAGCGTGGCATACATGTGTCCGCACGGTCTCCCAGGGAAACATAAAAAACACCGTGGAGTCCGGTGGCGATGTCTAATTAAAAAGGTACCTTTTTTCATAGAACGTGTGCACGGTGTACGGTTCGCTGAGATGATTTACTACTGTTCGACGATATGTAAACGATTTGCAATTTTCTTAGAAAAAAAACCACTCCTATCCAATTATTTTGAGTACGCGTTAAAGGAAAAGTCGATACCAGCCCCGGAGAGAAATTGCAGTTCGCATCTGTTCCCTCCTTTCGCTGATTCTTCGTTCGCAGAGTGATTTCGCCTCGGTGCAATATCAATTTCCTCACAATATCAGCGTTAACGAACCGTTGTACGTAGTAGTTATCTATATATCCCGCAGAATTGACAAGGATGATCGGTTATTCGTACGCGATATCGATTAAATAATAATCAGCCCACGTGATGCACGTGACAAGCTTCGGAAAGCACGATTTTAGCTCGTGCAGAAAAAGTTATAAAATAATAATTTGTTGCAGCGAGAGAAGTCACAGGTAGAAATTGACACCCTACAGCACGCAACCTACCGTTCACCGTATGAAGAGATAACTGGTTGCATACTAAAGGGTCGCGTTCATAGGACACGAAGTGGAGTGAGCTTCGATAATTTCTTTTTTCATTGGAAAATCATTATGCGATTCTAAGTTGTATAACTTTATCTACGAACACGATAAAATTAATGTAAGTATGAATAAAATCAAGGGAGTGTAAAGTTTTGTTATTAAAACAGACGAAATAATTAGTTCCTATCGTTAGCAATTTTAAAAATATTTGAAGGAAGGGTGGATCTGCAATGGCTGTGTAATATACATTAATTATTCGACCATAAACGGGTTTATTTAAACATTTCAAAAATTACAATTCGCATACAAAATTGATTTGCCGAATTGTATGGCATATTGTACAGTGGAATATGTCATTTATTAAATAAAAAATATAATTAACTTGTTCTTAAGTTATTTAGAATGTTGATGCGTTGTGCCTGGATGAATTCCACGCGGTCCAAGGCTCCAGCATTGCGCGTATCATTATATATACAACCCACAAACAAAAAATAAATCCAAGAAAGGTAAAGGCACCGTAACTGTAAAATGAAATTCACATTATATAATTAACGATTGATCCGGTAACTATGTTCATAAGAAAAGTAGGTATCGTCGACATCTCTTACTTTGTAAGCCATGCGATGAACATTCCTAAACTAAGTGCCAGGAGGAGTTTATAATTAGCAAGTGATCGCAGACTCAATCGGGGTGGTATACGTTCTTCGTAACCACTAGAAAGTCCGGTTTCCGTCCGTTTTTGTAATTTAATAACTTTGGTGGGTGGTTCCAAGATTTGTCGACAAATACTACCCAAGAAGCCTCGCTGGTGATACATAGTAGCTAACTTGTGTCGGTACTGTCGAAAGTATGTAACATTAAATAACTTTCAATTTATTCTTTGTTTATGAAAAAAGATATTCACAATCAACGTATACCTTCATATTTATATAGGCGCATTGATTGTACAAAAATCTAACTAATATAGTACACTCGTCGGATCTCACTGGCTGTAACTCGGGATCTCCCAAATATTCAATGTATTTACACGTTTGTCTGTTGTACTGTATTGGTACAAACATGCCTGGCTTACTAGTATCGAAACTTGAATCCATCTGAGAAGTAAATGTTTTATAAAAATTTATCGATTGACTAAACCCTTGGAACACAACCAATATATTACCTGCGATTGATGACAAAAGGACGTAGATAGAATACTCTCATGATATTCTTGATCAGCTTCAATAGCTACTTGAGGAATATCCTCCACATTGATCTAAAGTCATATTTAAAGAAAACTCGGTATAAAGAAGTATCGAACATTCGTTATATAAACAGTTACCTCAAAAATTTCGATTAATTGTTGCTGTGCATTCGCCAGGTACACAGGAACTCGCCGACGTTCATCTATACTAATGTCATCTGAAGAATAATCTTCACCGTTGAAGAATTCCCATATTGCTAACAAAAGCTTCCTGGTTTTCCTTTTCTTTTCTAATGCGTCGATTAAACTTGTTGCTGTTAGATGTGCTTGCTTAATAGTATTTAATAAACAGACCACCTAAAAAAAAAATCGCAATTTCTAAACAATTAAACGAAACTATAATGATTACATAATATACATACCTGTGAGACAGTAGCCACTGAAAACATTGGTACATACTGGTATGTTGGTCCCTCCAATTCTAATATCTGTTGTCTTACTACAGAGGACCACTGATTTGTAGATACTCGACTTCTACTGAGTCCAACATCATCCATTAGACCCTCTACTTCACATATCATTTTTGCTAAGAGTGGTTGTGAAAATACCTATACATTTAAGTTTAATAAAATAATCAATCTACATTTATAATATATGTCATTGAATATGTCGTTTACATACTTTAGTAACTCTGAACAGCATTAAGGCATTTTTTGGAGCTACTAAATCCGTTCTCATAAAACGTGGAACTAACTGCTGAAATATTGCTGTGTAAGCTAATAGATTATTTGCAACAAAAGGCATCCACCTGTAAGCATCATGTATTTTTCCCCTTTCTTCTTCTTCTGATTTACTGAAATAGTAATTAAAAAAGTGGTTAACTATCCTGTATCAATTATTTTTATTAAATTTTATACTTACCCTTCTTTAGTATACGATATTCCAGGGAAATACCGCCATGGTTGAATAAAGCTTAACCATGTCTCGAGAATTAATCGAAATGAACTATCTAAAGGCCAATGATGTATAGCTTTTCGGAGGAATGTGTAGATTTTTCCTTGGACAGAAGGTAAAATTATTCTGAAAATATTTATATTTAATAATCTAAATAACTATGGAAATAAAAATTATTCAATATTAACGAATACCGTTTAAGTTCATCCATTGCACTCTTAGCACCTGTAGCACTATTTGCAAATTCATGCAACGTTTTTATAAATGCTCGTACCAAACGTATGTGTTCTCCAGAATGAATACTATGCTGTACGTGGAATGAAATGTAAATGTATGCTTGTGATAAAAATATTAAAAATTATAAACTTACTCTGCATGGGACAGACGTGGAGTAGGTCATGCCAAATCTTGTATTTAACTGACCATCTTCTGAATACTCTAGCCAAAAATCAAGAAAAACTTGAACTACAGTTTCACTTCTCCATACTTGTGGCAGACATTGTTGTTGGGGAACTGTGGAAGTGGAATTAGGAGAACCAGGTGATAAAATAGATGTTCTCAATAGTCGTGGAGTTTGCAGCCTGTAATAATCTCTGGTTATAATTTTCAACTTACCAAACAAATAAATAAAGCTCTTAACTTATTCAACTTATCAAATAGGACAATTACAGTCATGTTAGTGTACCTCTTAGTTTCTGGTGACTGCACCAATTTTCTTTGTGGTGTTTTTCTAATATATGGAGGAATTATTGGCAAAACTGGTGAGTTGTCTGTAGGTAAAAAATGATATAAATAACAATGAGCTAATTGGACATAAACAGTTTCCCAATTTACCCAAACATTCTCTTGTTGTTGCACTTGCAACCATGGATTTGTCAAGTGATAAGCAAAGTGGAAGATGTAATATTCAAAGGGATCTATGTCTGTGTTAAGGGTCTTATCTGAATTCTGATGAATATATAGTTCTCAAATTATTTGAAGGATACTCATATTTAAGGAAGCTACAGAACGTGTACCCTGATCATCCCTAATTTTATCTAGATAAAATGGTGGTATCACACCTTCCTCCAGCATAGAACGTATTTTTACCTAAAGTAGAACAGAAAAACTATTAAAACTGCTTTTATTTGCAGCTTTTGTGGATGTTTAGTACTCACCGGTAAATATAATACTGGGACATTATATTTCAAGTAACAATCTGGTAATAATTTGTAGCACAAAGAGAAAACTGGTCCCTGTGGATTAAGGAAGTCACAGAGTGTTTTATATTCTTGTGGATTCTTCTTAAAAGTGATACTGTGTAATCCCCAACCAATATCATCTATTATTCCAAAGAGTGAGTCTACCAATATTGGGAGTACATGTTGTAATTCTGTTGTACTGGACTCATCTATTAATGTTGCTATTTCTTTGCACCGTTGGACCAACGGTAAGTTCAAATATCTCTGCACTTTGATCTACACATACAATTTATGTAAACAGATAAAAGAAAATTATATATTAAACGATTTAATTTAATATACATATAGTTTAATTTGAATATACTTTATTTTTTCTACAAGGCTTCCCAGGGACATAAGTACAGAATTTCGCATAAATAATACGATACAATATGCATTTGCAAATTGGTTTATTTATAAAAAGTTATACGTTGTAGTAATACATATAATAACTTTAAACAATTAATCATGTAGTTTTAAGGTAAAATATTAATTTTTAATCACATTTTAAATACACCGCTTAACATATTAGGTTAAGTATAGATTATATTTTTGTAACATTACAAAAATAAAGATTTTTAATACAAAAAATAATACATAATCAATACCGTAGCAACGTCTGAAGATGCAGCCATGTTTACGTTTGTTCGTTTTTTCACGAATTTTTAGAAATAACATTTAAACAACATTTACTCAGCAATTATGACTTGATTCGCGCCAAAGATATCTACATAGTTCAAACAAATGTCTAAAACGTACACGCTCCAACTTCTACACCACCCTGGGCCGCAGTTTGTTAAGCAACCGAAGATGTGGACAGAAATTGCTCTGCTCTGATTGGCTGATAATTCAATGATAAGACAGAATTCACTGCGGATTGAATGCGCTGTAAAATGGTAGGGATGCTTGCAAAAGCTAAGGGAGGTAAAAAAGTCGTGGAAAATACCTACAGGTATTACTGTATGTATTATAAATGTGATTAAATTTGACATCAGCTGATAGTATGTATGTATTATGGTGTTAGCCGTGCTTAATTTTGCATATGCATCAGTTGTCATGGATTTAAAATCTTTGGTAAGAACCGAAATTAAAAATGGAAAAATACAAGAATATTATAACGTATGAAATAATGAAAGAAATCAATTTTACATTCTATTGTTTCTAATATAGTCGTATATACTATCAGGCTCTTTGATACTATGTATTCATACAATCTTATATTGTGGATAGATTTGTTTAATAATAGTTCATTGTATATAAGTGAGTAAAATATATAAAATATCTGTCTGTTATATCTACTCTCTTTCATCATTGTTAGAGAAACAGTAAGTATATCTTCTGTATGTGACAGAGACTTTTAATTGTAGTAAACAGAAAAACACATATTTTTAAATGCACACTAAGTATGTACACATTATGACTTTCTTATGACATTATGTCGATAATGTAAATATTTATGAAATGTTCTAAATATGTAGTTTTAACATATATTTCTTGTATTAACAAAAACAAATGACTTGTAATACATTGTGTTATTGTAAAACATAATCTCATATGGATGTTGCTGTATAATAGGTTATTAATACAAATCTTTCAAGCAGGCAAGTTATTTTGAGCATACCCTGATGGTTGGTTGCCAACCTCAGAAATTCAGAATCATCTACTTCAATTTAATATTTGAAAACTATTTTGATTAAATTCATTTAAACATGGACTCAGATTCTGCAGAAATGGTGAATGAAATCAAAAACAAGGTAATATTGCATTGGAATTGTCGAGGTCTTGAGGAAATTCCTGAAGCAATAAGGTTTTATGGCAGTCATATTCAAGAAATATATTTGAAATGGAATAAACTTTCGACATTACCACCATGGATCATAGAACTGTTCAATGTTACAAATTTGTACATATATGGAAACTTACTCAAAGAACTACCTTCACAACTCTGTGACATGAGTCAACTGTTGGTTCTTGATGTAAGCGCTAACAAGCTAGAGCAAATACCATCATGCATAAAAAATTTAATTAACTTGAAAAGTTTGACACTAAATCAAAATTTTATAGATGAATTACCAAGTGGTAAGTTTTTATACGTGATATTACATTCATAAAGTCACATTTAATTTCATTCTGTATGCAATTTTTGTAGAAATGAATCAAATGCATAACTTGGAAGTTCTATCTATTTGTGGGAATAAATTCATTGCATTACCAGAATGGATTGGTTCTTTGCCTAAACTAAAGGAATTAAATGCAGATAATAATTGTTTAAAGGAATTACCCAATAGACTTACTTTATCACCACAGATATCACTAATTTCTGTGTGTTCCAACAGGTTGTTACATCAAATGAATATAAATAATTATTATATTTAGACAATTTAGTTTATTATAAATATTTTTGTTAATGTTATTGAATGCTTTCATTTTACGCAGAATAACTTTTATGTAGGCTAAGGTATTTACCACTAAATGGATTTGTATCATCTCCTTGCATTAAATTTGATGCAAATGGGTCTTTAAATTATTTATCTTATCCACTTCTTTATCAATTAACTTCTCGAAACCAAGACTTTCATACACATGGTCGAAGAAATATTTTAAGTTATGGGTGAGTTTTTATCTAATTGCAATACATATAAATTAATGTAAAGTAATACCTTAGTGCTCATTAGGTTTATGAAGGTATTTAAATATTTTAAGATAATCATAATACAATTTTTTATTCTATTCAAATTTCCAATAAGAAATTCACGCTTGTATCTATAAATACATAAGTATATACAATCACAGATGTTTCAAATCGCATTGTGAGAACACAGTATTACGTACAAATATAAAACTGAACATAAAAATAAATGCATTGCATGGAGAGGATACTGATTTTGCGATTGAATTACCGCGCCAACTTTTAAAAGTTCATAATATCCATGAAAATACAGTTGTTTCATTATGGGAATTAGCTTTAAAAAAAGCTTATACTGAAAGGTAACTACCACAGTATCATGCATCACATTTTTCTCGTGGAATGTACCTAATGTTCTTCAATACTTTCATAAACAGAACCGTTTATACTTAATTTTAGGTATAAGCACACACTTAACATTTCAACATCGCCTATAAATATAAATGTTCAGTACGAATCAATTACAACAAATGATCATGAAACTTCTGGCTTTAAATTGTATCCTATCAACTATGGTTCATGTAACTTGTTGATGAATGGACCTGTTAGTATCTGTGTACATTCTCAATGTCAACAGCCAATCTTCACAGAAGCTTGGGTTATTATTGGTATCAGCCACCATGTAGAATCTATAACAACAGTTGCACTATGTTGCTGCAAAAGGTGAGATAAACCTTGTCTGTATGTTTGTATATAATATCAAAGATTTCACCTCAATTTTGCAGATGCGCTTCTGAATTTATTAAATATTCCAATATGATAGTCAGCTATGACTGGTATCATGTCAATTAATGATACTTATTTTGTTTAATAGGTAATTCTGTAAATATAATGTATAAAAAAAAATAAAAGAATTCCATATTTTTAAATTGGATTTAAAATTTGTTATAACCATTGTAACACTTGAAACATTTTTTAGTAGCACTTATATATATATCGTATAAAGACATGTATATCGATCATATCTTACAATAGTTGGTAATTTCAGTTTTTGTTATACAATAAAATAATCGGCAATATTTGTTTTGAAATAGCATGACCATTAGTTTATTTACTATTCCTTTGTGCAGTAAAAAAATTGATTTTAGACCACTCTTTTCAATTAGTTCATATATAAGTTTGCATTCAAGCGATAAGAAAATCTAAAGCTCTATCACGGTCGATGTTATATTTTAAAAGTGCAGCGGACGCTTCTTCTTCGGGAAAGCCTAAATCTCGTAAAGTACATAGATTCTCATAGTAAGCTTTGGCTTTGTCTTGATTGTATTCTGTGAGGGCAAGGGCCTTTTCTGCATCCTCTCCAGACATTCCTACCTCCTCTAAAGATTGCACAGCCAACAAGTATTCCACAATCTTCTTATTATCTTGACCACCTAATTTGCGTATAGCGCGAGCAGCTCTTGGTAAAGGAAATCCCATATCACTTAAATGACGTGCTAACTTTTTGTCTTCCTCTGTTAAGTCCAGTAATAAATTTACAACAGTCTCTTCATTTGTTACCACTGGCTCGTTTTGTTTTAATTCGTGAGAACTAGCATTAGGACTTTCTAAGTTTGGCCAAGGTTTCCAATCCTGTTACAGATAATATGTATAGTTTTTGACATATATAATCCCTGTAGTTTTATTTTCATAATAAATTATATTACCTCCATCAAAGGTCTTTCTAAGTCTCTTTGTAATTCTTGAACAATTGCAGATACACTACGATGTTTAACTGTTTCTGTTACACTGTCTTCTTCCTGATCACTTGTTTCATTTTTAATATTATCATTTTTCTCTTCTGAATGAGTATCAGGACGTTCATTAACTGTTAAATCTTTTAATATACTTTCTAATTTTGCTGGTGGTGCCCATTGAAATGTGGGTTGTAATACCTAAAAAATATGAATAAATGACAATTTATTTTAATATTGTGACTCAGATCTGACAATTATGACTCCACATCCTGTTAACCTGAGCAAGTTCCTCCATATCATTTATTGTTTTTAATTCCATATTGTCAAATGGGCTACTCGTATCATTATCAAAGTCAGCATAATCCAATCCATTTGTTTTTACATGATCTTGAAGATCATTTGCTGGTGGCGACAAAGGCTGCGGAGTAAGAATGGTTGTTTCAGGCACAGGTGCATTTACAGGTAGCTGTTTCGTGTTATCGGGAAGTGGTGGTGGTGAAGGAGGAGGACATTCTTTTTTTTCTTTCTTCCTTTTCTCATCTAAGCGTGTATGGCGTGCTTTGTTATTTGCTTGCCTAACTTTGCGCCATTCTGTCATCTGTAAATTAAATCTTTTGATCAAAATTAATTTATTCTAGTATATTCTACATTTAAGTGTAACATAAAATTGATTTGAATTTCTCTAAATTGTAGAAAAAAATACTCAACCTTTTCAAGAACTGATCGTTCCAAAGTAAAATTATAAGTTAATTTTGACACATCAGGCAGCTTATTGTTATATACTGCTGGTAAACACACTTTTCGAGGAGGTTTATATGCTTCTGCAATTTTAACATGAACTCCATCCATGTAAGATGCAACTAAATCACATTGCGCTGATACTGAGGAACGTGCCATATTTCACAATCAAAAGATAAATGTAACAGAAAAATAATTTGTCAAAACTTTCAGTCACAGGAAACATCGGCATCATAACCTCATATTTTTATATATATTATTTATTTTCATCTTCTTGGATATTTTCTTAAACTTAATGTTGTATATTTTCTGAAATATACGTGAAAATCAACATATCTCTCACTTGAACAATTTATACTCCGTATAATGACCTGCGTTTGACAACTTACAGTGTTTTGAACTTTTAATGACTTTCAACACAGCCATATTGAATTTTGGTAAATACGTACAATCGATACAACGACTAATCGATAGCGTACATTGAAATTTTGACTTTAAATTACAATGGCGCGCTTTTTTAAAAAAGTGAATAAATGAGTCAAGGCATAC